GATGGAGACTCTGCTGTGGTCCTGCAGTGCTGTCAGTGAGAGCTCTTGACTGCTCTTACTCCATTTTTCCCACATTGCCATCAATCTTCGAGGCATGATGTCTCTTGTAGCCAAGAAAATCTGTTAGTGAGGTTGGGTGGAGGCTGAGAAACCCTTAAATTTCACTTGGTTATATTTTTTACGGACTTCCTCCTTCTGGAAGGAAGTACTGCTGAATAGCATTTTGCTGGTGCTGAAACAGTGACGAGGTGTTGAAACGTTTTGTCATTTCTGGAATGTGTGTTTTGTTTTTTGTTTTCTCTTGAGATCTCCCATTTTTGTGCATCCATTGTAATTCCCTTTTCTGTTTTATAAATCTCGTCATTCTTTGTTGAGAGATGAGGGGTATGAATGGCTGCCCTGTGCAGTGTGCTGGTACAGCAGTGTGGAAGCTCCGGTGCGTGAGATCTCTCGGACGCAGGCTCTGTGCTCAGTAGTGTTCCCCCTTTCCGTTCTCACAGGACAGGAAGCAGGAACAGATCCGCAGTCTCATCAAGGGAAATTCCACAGCCAAGTCTGAGCTCTCCAGGGTCCACGCCGAGGTACCCCTTTGCCAGCCTCCTCTTGTGCCAGTTGGCCTGTGTTGCACCCCAGAAGTCTCCTTACAGCCGAGCTGTGACCCCAGACTGCCCTGTTGCCCCTACCCTCGCTCGGCTGCTGCAGTGTGGTTAATTGTAGTCGAGTGCAGCGCCCTACACAGCGGGCGGTCTCCGTACTGCTCTGGCCAGGCTGATGTTAATTTGGTGCAGCGAGTGTCCTGCCCATCGGGCAGAGAGTCTGGCGTCTCCATGCGTTGCCCTCCCAGTGTCCTCTGCGGCGGGCCTTTGACGTTGCCGTCTCCGCCCTCGGCTCGTGACGTGGGTCTTGGTCCCCCCACCCTCCAGGTCCGCCGGTTCGTGCAGGAGAAGCTGCAGCGCCACCAGGGGGCCGTGGAGCGGGAGGCGGGGGCTCTGCACAGCGCCGTGTCCCAGGAGGTGCGGCAGGCGGCCGGAGTGTCCCTGGACGAGCTGGACCGCCGGCTGCTGGACGGGTGAGTGGGGCTCGGCGGTGCGTCCTGAACCCCATTTCAAACGCGTGCACTCGGGGGGAGGCCCCCGAGGACAGGAACTGTCCTTTAAACACATTATAATCTGCCCGGGTTCGTGGGTTTTGTATCTTCGTGGGCTTGTGCTAGTGAGCGGTACGTGAGCCTAGTTTTGGGAGAAGCGGGCCCGGTCCGCTGTTGAAGATGCGTGTTTCTCCTCGCAGTGTGCAGAGAGTTCCCGCTCGCAAGCTGTCCGTCCACCGCCTGGACTGCCCTGCCCTGCGCCGCGTGAGCGACGGCCTGGGCTTCGCGCTGTACAAGGTCAGTCTGTAGGTCTGCGTGTCGTTTTCTCTAGAGTTCTGTTATTCACATCGTAACAAGAGGGGGCCATTGGCGTGTGGCCCGTTAGCAGGTAATCGTTGCCAGGATCCTGGCTGGCTGTCTGTCTTGTTCCACGCTCCCACCACCCTTTGTGTAAGGGGGGTGTTCTCAGTTTACATACCGGTGTCCTCAGGTTCGTATTCCCCTCATGCAGCAGTTCTTGCCAGTGGAATAGGCTGACTGCTGCCTCCCCTCCCTCAGGCCCCAGAGCAGCTGATGCCCCTGGCAGTCTCCATGCAGCTGGAGCTGCGTTTCCTGCGCAGGCTGCTGCAGCTGCACACCACCTGCATGCAGCACCGGGATCAGCAGGTGGCACTGCTGCCAGCCCAGGACATGGAAGGTAAGACAGACTGGTGGGGGGGTTGCCCAGGGAGGAGGGATCCCTGCGATCCAAGTATGTGCTCTATGGGAGCTTAGTTGGAAACCCCACACAGCAACAGTACTGCAGCTTTGTTACGTTCCTTGAGACGTCTGCACTGCAGCTTGATTGTAGATAAACACACGTTTGGCTTTTTCCACAGCTGGAGCGGAGCTTTGTTTAAAATCTGCCGAAAGACAAGCTTTAGTGTGCAGGTTTTTCTGTGATGGTGGCTGAAATAGGACCATGGCCTATCTGCCTGTGTCCGGTTTGTGAATTGGAAGCTCCAAAAGGTTTTAGTGAAGCTTGCAAGTGTAGGAGGACAATTCTTATTAGAGCTGCTCCTGTTTCACAGAGGGCAGACTGAGGCACTTAAGAACATGAGAACAGTTACAAATGAGAGGAGCCCTTCCAGCCCATTGGGCAGTTAGTAGCTAATTTATCAATTAATTAGATTAATTGGAGCCAATTCATTAGCGGAGCTCGTCCAGCTGGCCCCTGAATGAACTATCGGCTGCAGCCATGCAGCTGGGCTGGTCGTTCCCCACTCTAGCAGCTCTTTGTGTAAAGTGCAACCTGCTCTGGACCTGTGCTGCACTCCTGTCTCCCCAGCCATGCTGCAGCGCGTGCGGACGGAGGACCAGGCGCGCGTGCGGGACCTCCTGCCCCGGGTGCGTCTGCTGTCCCAGCGCAGTGCGCAGTGTCTGGGGTACGGGGCAGAGGTCAAGAGGGCCATCTCACACTGGTGAGGCACCGCCACCGTTATCACAGTGTCTGTACTGACCCCTCTCTTTCAGGGCAGTGTTATTGTACCGACCCCTCTCCCTCTGTGCAGGTGGGAGCAGCCTGGCCAGTTCGTCCTGCCTGACCAGCGCAGAGGTGGGCTGACCCTGCAGCAGTGGCTGGAGAGGTGGAGGCTGGCAGCCAAGGGGCTGCAGTGAGGAGCCGCCGGCACTGAGCTGAGGAGCTGAGCAGACACGCAGGCGATTGGCCTGTTCACACAGCTGCCCCTGGCAGTGCAGAGTCCCGAGACCTGCCCCCACACAGTCTGCAGCCATGGGCACTGCTGGCCGGAGAGGCCTGTGAGTCTGTGATGGCTGACTGGTGTACTTGTCAGCAGGTTGGTCATGCTGACCAATTTCTCCCTTCAGGTTTTTCTTCTTGTGTGTGCGTGGGTGGGTGTGAGTTTGCATGAGATCTGCCTGCTGCTGCAGCACTTGCTGTACCCAGCTGTGTGAACAGGCCTGGTGGCACTGGGCTGTGTGAAACCCAAGGCCCGACCTCCTGGTCCCACTACTTCAGATCCCAGGAAGGTCCTGAAGGATATTTCCTGTTATCCTCACTCTCGGTTTTGTAATAGATCCCACAGCCCATCTGAATCAAAGCCTGTGGTATTTTTCCCTAAAATAAAGTAGTTTGTAATTGTCTCTTGCCTTTCTGTCCCCTTGTCTACAACTGTCCTCTTAAGAAGGAAAAACCCATTCTCTTGGGGGCTGAGCAATAATAGCTATAATAAGAGATTATTTATAGTGTAAATAATTGAATGCTGAAAAGTTGGGCTTTGGAAAGCATGCATTGGAGTGGATTAGGTTTTTTGTTAAGCTGAACCATGATCACAGTATCCTGACACTCCACCATGTCATCTGAACTAGGCAGCACAGCAGCCCAGAGTCCTGCGGGAGAGTCTGAGCTGTAGCTGTAGAGACAGGGCGGAGAGACTCCCCTCCCGGCCCTGTGTGTGTGCTCTGTCATTGGTTTGTGAAATCCAAAATGCTTCCTAGGGGCTCTGAAGCTTTCCGAGCTGGCTTTCATTGGGAATGGGGCAGTTCGAATCTCTCTCGGGAGAACTTTCTGAAGAGTCCGTCTGCTTTGAGAGACTGGATAATGTTGGGTTTTTTTCCAAGTTTTATCAAATATCAAACCTGAAAAAGGCAAGTGAGCAAAAACTACAACACAATACTGTGCCAGAGTAACTACTAATCTGAGTACGCCTCGTTGAGATTTTTACATTCTGTACATAGGTTGTGTTTTCAGATCTTGAACATGGTGGAGGTTTGTCTTTTCACTTCTACTTCATTAAGCACAATGAAATCCAAAACATTCGAGAGGTAAAACATATATATTCCAGTTTAGTGAAGTGTTAGCTCCATTGAGGCTGCTGTCGGTAATTGCAGTGGGCTGGACTGGGGTGAGGTGGGGGCCTTGCAGGAGAGGCTGGCTGGCCAGCGTTCCCCTCTGGCAGGCTCAGCAAGCAGCAGGGTGAAGGGCTCATCGCCTGTGTGCCTGTTCTTGTGTTCCTAAGTGACTGACTCTGCCCTCTGTGTCTGTGATTTGTGATTTCTGCAGTGTCCAGGCCCACTGATGTGGTCAGGGTCAGGCCAGTGCCAGCAGTTTGACGTCCTCTGACGCAGCCCGAGCGGGAAAGAGAGACAGAGGCTCCCTCTGACCCCCCAGGGGTCTGATTCTGACACCCTAGGGACATGGCTAGAGGAAATTCAAGGTCAACCACATTCACAATGCTTTGATCATAGGCCTTTATTTGATGAATAATAATTCATAGTATTAGGCTTAATTATCATAATCTTGTAAAAAAAAACATCCGGCTCTCCTCTCTCCTGTGTGAGGAAGGGTTTGTTGACCTCGGTGTGCGTAAAAGCCCAGCAGCAGATACTGTGCTTGGTGAGGGTCCCCTCTTTCCATGAGGTGCACAGTCAGACACTCCGACTGCACTGGGGCAGACCTGGGAGATAAATCGGCAGATTTATACACAATGGTCATCGGAAGAGGTGGGGCATTAAGGGAAGTTGTCAAGACGATGTTTACCAGCTCCCATGGAGAATGGGGCCTCATGGGAGAGCTGGTTGGTTGTCAGGGTTGAGTCTGCTGAAAGCCCCTCGGGGTCCAAGTGTGTGGTTCTGTCACGGAACCAGTGTCCGGTCTTGGCTGTGTCCCACTACTAGTCTCAGTGCAGGGCTACAGGAGGACATTACACACACTCTTCACCCGCTTTCTCAGTCACGTTGCACTTATTCCAGAAGATACTAAACCAAGACGAGGAAAACGCTAAGCTTATGGCAGCAGGGTGCAATTTCTAGCTGTGACCATACTGAAGGATGTGTGGACAGCAAACATGCTATGTAAGACATTTTGTTTAAACTTTCCTTGGAAATAGAGACAATTGACTTCCTGGTTGGCCGGGAAAGAGGAATTGGTCCCTAATTATAAGCACAATCTTATTGGGACATCTTGTCACTTAAAATTAAGTAATTCCAATTTATTTGTGATAATTAGATACATTTGCATGTAGCGGAGCCTGCAGGGGTGGTTGTAACGATGAACGCTTACCTGTTGCTATGGAGAGTGTGGCCTCATGGGAAAGCTAGATGGATTCATCCTGGCTAGACATGGTCCATCCTGTCAGAGACTCAGAGCGCAGGTTGTGTGTCCTCTCTGAGCGTCTGTCCACTCACAGCTGTGTCCCACTACTCGTTTCAGCTTGGACCTCCAGTACTGTGTCAAGGAGGCTAGGATCACTCTGCATTGAACACGA